GATATTCTAACCAGTCGTAATTTATTTCGAACGTTTCACAAGGTTTACAGCGATTTTCCCCGGTAAACCGTTAGAAGCGTGTAACGTGCTAAATACCGGTATCGCAAATATTCTTAAAACCGGTATCGAAATTAAAGGTTCACCGTCGGGGGTCTTATTGCCTCGAATCGGATTGGAGAGCGACGAGAAAAAAAAGGGGGAAAAACGGAACGAAAAAAAAGAGGAGAAAAAAAAATCGCGAGCGTGCCCTTGTTAAATGGGAAAGCTCCCCGGGAATTGCATCCCGTATTTTCTTTTTCGGACAACAGCGGCCTCGTTACTGTCCGCACACCGGTTCGTCGCGCGTTCCAGTTTGATCACGATTCGTCTCCAACGATTGCGCATACGTGCCCTGTAGTTGGAATTTTCGTCCGTACGTAATCCGAAATTATTTGCACGTTAACGCTGACGCGCGTTCACTTCGGACTGATTTCCTGAAAATAGTTGCTGCAACTATTCGCCCGGCGTCATTAGGGTGACGCGAAACACCGGGCGAGGCCCGCGTGCACGGGGCTGTTGCCGATATACGACGCGTAGTCGACATTAAAGGGCACTTAGCCAGTTTCGCCTACCTAACAGAGAGCCTCTCTCTTGCAAGAACAGCGGCAAAGACAGCCCTGTGACAGTAAATAGATACGCCTATCGTTTGGTTTAATCACCTTGTAAGATCGTGCAAGACGTAGCTTTTTTTCTTCTTCCTCACCCTCTGGAGGACACGGCATTTTGCCGGAGAGAAAGGAGCAAAATGGGCTCGCGACTAACGCAGGAATACATAAACCCATATTACGGCGAACCCATTTACTCATCTGCCTGCCTATTACCTACCACCTAGCTTGCGGCTCGACCTATCTACCTGCTTCCCTTGTTACCCACTGTTACAAGCGGTCTTCTCTCCACTTCCCCTTTGCCGGAATCCTTACGCCCGCAGCACGGCGCCCGCATCACCATTTCAATCCTCTTTTCTCTCCCCTGCGTCCCTCCCCCTTCTTTTTCTTACCTTCAGTTTCTTTCCTCTACTTTTTCGCCACGACCTCTTCCGCGTTCTTTCTATCCTCCGTCACCTCCTCTCTCTCTCTTTCTCTCTCTCTCTCTCTCTGTTTACTCTTTATTTCTTTTTGTCTCTCTATCTTTCTTTCTTTCGTTGGCGAAATCGTCGGGTCCCTTTCCAACCCCCCGTCTTTCTTCCTCCGCTTCTTCTTCGTCCTTGTTCTTGCCCCTGTAAGATCCCTACAAGACCCATTCACTATCCGAACTTTTACTTCCGTTTTATTTTCTACGCTTAAAGAATATTTTCCGCGATAAAGAGATCGGGTTATGGCGCACAAAGGCAAGAGCTTTCATTCTGTTTGTTCCGGGGGCGCCGGAAGAGACCGCAACGTGAGCTGTATATGTATCCCCTCCTCTTTTTCCCTCGCCACTTTACTCCTTACCTTGCTTCTTACCGCAAAAGCTCGCCTTCTGTCTCTCTCTCCTTCTCTATCTTTGCTTCCCCGGTTTTACTCCTCCTTCTCTTTCAGGACCAGCCGCCCCACGCCCCCCGCTTCTTCTTCTTCGTCGGTCTCCTTTTTTCTGGCTGGTCGTTTGTGCGCTGACTACAACTTGCGGGTTCCTCGACGTTTAATGAAAGCTTTCGGCAGGAGTCAGACAGATAGTTTTTCTCTATTAATTAGAGGGACTCCAGTCAAGTTATTTCATCGCAGGGGGGGTTATATGAGTCGCGATGTAAGAAGCCTCCTCTGGATGGTGTTTCCTGTTTTTCTCTTTTCTCCCGCTCCATCCCCTCCCCCCATCCCGTTTTCGTTCCGCCGTTTGCTGTGTCTCTCGTAATTGGAAATTAAAATTGAAATTTCTAATTACTGTGGGAAAATCGATAACCAGCCAGCTGCAGTGTTCAACGGGAGAATCTTATTCAACGTGACGAGATGAAATTAACACCGGAGCTGTTGAATTATTTCAGCTCATTATTTGTTGGACAACCGTCGCTGCAAAGCGAAAATGCTCTCTTTATTCGAATGTTACTCGCGAGGTTAACCTGTACGTAGCGCGGATGCTTTTTTGTCTTTCGTTTTTAAGCTGGTTGGGTGGATATTTGCTGTGTGACTTGGTTTTATCGTTGTTGCTGCGAAGAAGTTGAGGATATTTAATTTGAATTAATTTTAGCAATATTGTAGTTTCCTCCAAATTCTTATAATATTACATAATTGATTTAATTACAAATGCAATCGTTATTGATTTATTTGTAAAATATGACGTTCAAAATATTTATTACTGTATGTACGATACTTTAATTAATACGTAGGTAAGTTTAGAGCAATTCGAATAACTTTCGACTACATTTTATCTCTAACCTTTCTTGAAAAAATGGCACTCTGTGTGCTGTAATTTAAAGCTCACATTGTTGAACAGTGCAAAGAATAATGCAAGTATATTAATTTTAATGATCTCCTTGATACTATGATTTGTGTACTTTGTAGACTTTAAATACAATTTTTAACCCTTTTCGATACGTTTCAATATTTGAAAAATTATTAATTCAAGTATTAATGACAATCTGCGTTTTCTCTTCTCGCAGTCAGTGTTAAATAATATTCACTGATGAAAATAAGTGTCGAAAAAATAAGCATTAAACAATATCCAACGCTAAACTCTCTTAAAATCACTAAAAACATATCATTCCATCAAAAATCCCGAAACCAATTCTCACTACCCTCCCAATGACTCTTTCCAAAAACAAATCCAAACACACCCTGAAACAAAATACTGTTCAACGCGAAACTCACTTAACGTCAGTGACCATTCCATTAAAAAAAAAGTACCAAAAATCCCAAAATCAATGAGTCGTTATCTAAACAAATCCAAACACACCCTGAAACAAAACACTTCCGTTCACAAAAATACCACCGCAATCTTCATCACGCGACGAGAAGACCAAACCACCCCTAACATTTCTATCCCGCGATTAAAACAACCGGAACATTCGCGTCGTTCAAGATACACCGTCGCCATAATACATTCAATGAGCCCAGAGACGTGGAATGGATAAAACTTGACGCACACGATTCCACGTTCACCGCGAACTACCGGCATTATTCAAATCTCCAATTATCGAAGACCGGTCTGAATTATGAGCGAAATGATTGCGATAACCAAACTGGTAGGGAAGAGAGCATCGCCAAAAATTCGAAATGAGATCACGGTTACGTCGGTGTGCACGGCGGTATCTCTGTTCGCAAGCTCACCAGAGGGGAGGGCAAAGTCTTAAATTAGAAGAGGGACTGAATCGAATCAGATCTTCTTTCCAATTGGGAGAGCGTCCGAAGAATCGCGGCGCGGAATCAACCAGTCAAGCGGGAGCAAGCCTCGTCATACAACTCGGCCGGGGCAAAAAGATCAGCGGGAAAAAACGAGGAAGGATCGTGGAACGAACTGATAATGATATGCGGTCGATTCGAAGGCCCAGGCTATATCCTGGAAAAAGTTTCTCGTCGTTCGGGCGACTATTCAAATTATTCCCGCTCGCGTTCCAGAGAAAAGTTCTGTAGACC